CCATCAGTTTAGGACTATGTTTGATTTACATATCACACATTACGCAGCTGCCGCCCGACAATATGAAGAAAGCATCAACCAGATGTTGGCCAACTGTCCCGCCACATGGTGGAACACTGAATGTACAGTTACAGCATGGGCCTGTGACAGTGTGTCAGTTTCCTGTTCTCACTTCAACTGCAATATTTGGTTTCTCACTTTCATACAAACTCTCTGTCTGCAAGTAACTTTCTTCTGATAAAAGCGATCAATATAAAAAGTTAATAGATGTTAAATAGTGGGTTATCTGATGAATTGTGAGAGAGATGACAGAAGCAAACAGATATGCAGTTATAGTTCAATTACAAAAAGACGGAGGGAGAGAAAGATTGACTTAAGTAGATAAAGGCACAGACAGATATATTTTTTTAAACGAATGGATGGATGGATGGTTCGATAGATAGATGAACTACACAGAGAGACAGATAGACAGACGGACAGACGCACGGATAGATAGATAGGCAGACAGATAGGCAGACAGATAGACAGACAGACAGATAGATAGATAGATAGATAGATAGATAGATAGATAGATAGATAGATAGATAGATAGATAGATAGATAGATAGATAGATAGATAGATAGATAGATAGACGGAAATATAGACAGACAGACAGATATACGGACGGACGGACGGACAGATATACGGACGGACGGACGGACGGACGGACGGACGGACGGACGGACGGACGAACGGACGGACAGACAGACAGACAGACAGACAGACAGACAGACAGACAGACAGACAGATAGATAGATAGATAGATAGATAAACCAGATAGATAAAAAAGATAGATAGACAGACAGACAGACATCTAGATAGTTGATACGACAGACAGACAGATAGATAGATAGATAGATAGACAGACAGACAGACAGACAAACAGACAGATAGATAGATAGATAGACAGACAGACATCTAGATAGATGATACGACAGATAGATAGATAGATAGATAGATAGATAGATAGATAGATAGATAGATAGATAGATAGATAGATAGATAGGTAGATAGGTAGATAGATAAAACAGATAGATAGACAGACAGACATCTAGATAGATGATACGACAGACAGACAGACAGATAGACAGACAGACAGACAGACAGACAGACAGACAGATAGATAGATAGATAGATAGATAGATAGATAGATAGATAGATAGATAGACAGACAGACAGACAGACAGACAGACAGACAGACAGACAGACAGACAGACAGATAGATAGATAGATAGATAGATAGATAGATAGATAGATAGATAGATAGATAGATAGATAGATAGATAGATAGAGAGACAGATAGACAGACAGACAGATAGATAGATAGATAGATAGATAGATAGATAGATAGATAGATAGATAGATAGATAGATAGATAGATAGATAGATAGACAGACAGACAGACAGACAGACAGATGGATAGATAGATAGTGAGACACATAAATAGGCAAGTAGACAGACAGATGGATAAACGTGTAGTTCTAAAAAAGACAGACAGTGGTAGAGAGGAAGCTCTGTTGCATGGGCTGTTGGTGAGCCAGGAAAGTATGTATATTGAAGTGGGGGGCTGGGAAAATCCAGCAAGCTCCAGCCCCATCGAGCCATCCAGCAGCCCTCACTGACATGCCAACCCACAGAGATCAATACAGGCAGAGGGAATGGGGGCGTTCATATGGCTGAATGTGTATGCATGTAACTAACAGGATGAGAAATCTGATAATTTAAAGACAAAGAGAATGGGGGAGAAGAAGAGAGGGTGAGAACGAATAAGAGGTGGGAGAGATGGTGAGATAACGGAAGTAGCACAGTGTGCTCTGTGTGTGTGTGGCTGCCACAGTAATAGTGCCAGCATGTTCTAGAATGTTGGCCAGGATGAATCATCAGCATGTAGGGATAGTGGTTACATCAGAGGTGATCTCACGGATCGTGAAAAGTACAGGACAGATCAGGTGGATCGTGAATATATATAAACCTTCCGGTATAAAAGACCCATGCTAGGTGAGCACATAGTATTAAAGGGAAAGTTCACAGAAAAATGAAAATTCTGTATTAATCTTTGGAGGAAAACAGTAGCTTATTCTGTAGAATACAAACTGCCCGTAGAATACCCGTTGTACAGACATTTGGAGTTGTATTCTAAATTTTGGAGCTTGACACTTCTAGTTGTCATTCTTTTCAATGCATTTGCCAAGAAAATGAATGAGAATGATCTTCACAGAAGTTTCATTTTTGTTTGAAAGAGTGCTGTTCCTGATTTCAGCACCATGGAGAGAGACACTTTGTTACTGGACTTGTTTGTAAGTGTGAAAGCAGAAATCCTAGAGACACACAAACCAGACGTGAACAGCAGAGCTCCTCTGAATTCATTCTTAAGCAGTATCTTACCATATTTTCCAGAATATAACTTGAGGTATTTAGCCCTATATGCGGAGCACTTGACAAAGTTACTCTACCTGACAAGTCTTGTTGTTGATGCCGGGTGTAACAACAAATAATAACTTGTCATCTAGTTGATCATTTGGACAAGTGGCAGAAGGTAGATTTTCCCATAAATCACCTGTTGAACTGCATCCCGATCATCACAAATACTGCAGAAGACCTATTGGAACCTGCATGGACCCAAGATTCTCACAGAAATCAGTCAAGTTTGGTGAAGGAAAAATCATGGTACGTTCAGTATGGGGATATCTGCAGAGTGGATGTCAACATCAACAGCTTGAGGTATCAAGACATTTGTGCTGTCCATTACAATACAAACCACAGGAGAGGGCACTTTCTTCATCAGGATAGCACCCCTTCTCATACTTCAGCTTCTACATCAAAGTTCCTGAAAGCAAAGAAGGTTAAGATGCTCCAGGATTGGCCAGCCCAGTCACCAGACATGAACATTAATACGCATGTCTGGAGTAAGATGAAGGAGGCATTGAAGATGAATCCATAGAATCTTGATAAACTCTGGGAGTCCTGCAAGAACGCTTTCTTTGCCATTCTAGATGACTTTATCAGTAAGCTATTTGAGTCATTGCAGAGATGTATGGAAATAATAAAAAACAAGGCATGATTATATTTCATTTAGGTAAAATAAGTCTAATCTAAAGGCCTTTGTCTTTCAAATGAGCCACTTCTGATTCCAAATGATCATCTAGAAGTCAAATTATTATTTGTTGTTCTTAAAATTTTACAGGCGACAAGACTTGTGTCAGGTACTGTATATGTAAAGCGTACTTCTTACATGCTAGTAATTTTAAACAACAGCTTTCTGACTACTCTGAATACATTTGTTGATAGCCATTTTTAGGTGGAACAAGACCTTTGAAAAGGTGGGTTTCAATCCTCTTCTATACAAAATATTATGCAGTTTTTGTAAGTAAACCAAAGACTGAAAGTAAAACAAAGAACCGAAATCTGGACAAAATGTTCAAGCTGACCTGTTGTTTTCTCATCAATCAACACTTTATCCAATTGACCAATATGATTTAGGTTGAGGCCTTTTCATAGCAGATACTGATATATGCTCTTAGTTTTGATTTAGCACTATCTCTAGTAATAAAATAACAACTGTAGGGACAAAACTCGTAGTTTTTAACATCCTGTGACAATATTTTCCGATTAAGACCCATCAGTGCTGTTCACACCACCTGTGAGAATGTTAGCGTTCTTGGTTACTCATGTCACTTAATGAAAGTTTCAAGATGGTGATACGTCAAGACTCCAGACAGAAAGATCAGGCTGCCAGCATCATAAAGGAAATTTTACAGAATGCAACATTCCATTATTTAGTTGGCACACTCGACAATAAATAACGCAGCTGGCGGCTAAATTGACGGACATTGTGATACCTCATGGACATTAAGATCGATGTGATGAACACTTAATCCCCCGGGGCTCCATCACAATAAGCAGAGTAAGGGAGCTAGGTCTGGAGATCGTGGCTGCCAAAAACACTTTTCCACTGTTGCCAAAATGGTTGTGCTGATGCTGCTACATGTGATAATGATGATCATCTTGTACATATTTTGATAGTTCATGTTTTGATAGGCATTTCTGGTTCACTTGGTGCCCCACATGAAATGAGACGACAACAAAAAAATAATGTCTGTTTTTGTTACAGAAAGCCTCATTAGATGATATATAGTTCCAGGAGTCTCATGTTTAAAAAAAGTAGGCTGTGTATTGAAGTATGAGGCATCTGTTACACATTATTTTTTACACAATACCCGACTACATTTCATTCCCTTTTTTATTAAGCTGTTACTTGCCCTCATTGCATGGTACAACAGCAATGAGAAAAGCACTTGACTGAGCTCACTAGGATTATTGCTGTTTGTGCCTGGAGTAACACATGGTACAAACCCCTCCCAACTGTACCCAGTTACTAAAAAGACACAAACATTCTATAGAGATGTGAATTGCAGTACGATCTCCCCGATGGTTATGTTTGTTGTTTTAAAGCCAGGTAAAGTTGCAAATAAGATTTCGAAATTCTCAGCATTGCTAAATTGTTGTCTTCAAGGTCCTTTGGCTCATCACTCACATGGCTTAAAGTCAAAGCACCTGTTTGGCATTTGCAAAAACTGGTTTCATTAAAGGTCATTGAGAGGTTTAGCAAATATTTTCAGCTTAATTTGAAAAGGTTAAATAGAGTTTGATGAAAATGTGACACTACAGTGGCAACAGTGGTTCTTTAGGAGCCAAAATTCATACCTTGCTACTAAAAGACAGCCTTTTCAGATTGTTTTCTTTAAACATTGCTTTTCCTATCACAGTCACGGTGAAAATTGTGAAGCTGAAAACATGAGGCAACTCTCCAAACTGCTGAAACCTAAGGGCAGCAGACTCAGCAGGGGAAGACAGGGCTTCACATCTGCTGCAGCTCTCAAAATCCAGCAACAGACAGCTGAATTGTTGATTTGTAGTGTACACATCCAAAGTTGTCTCTAATGTCCTGTCTTTTGTGCAGGTACATACCAGGGCCAATGGGTGGGCGGCATGCGGCATGGATACGGTGTGCGGCAAAGCGTTCCGTACGGCATGGCGGCCGTCATCCGTTCACCTTTGCGTACCTCCATAAACTCTCTACGCTCCGAGCACAGCAATGGCACAGCTCTGCTGACCGGCGATCGGGCGCCTGTGGCTGGTGTAGGAGGCAGCGGTGTCCTAGTAGTGGGCAGTCCAGCAGTGTCCCGCGGAGGCTTCGTTTTGACAGCCCACAGCGAGGCAGAGCTGTTGAAGAACAAAAAGAAGGGCCTGTTCCGTCGCTCACTCCTAAGTGGTCTCAAGCTGCGAAAATCAGAGTCCAAGAGCTCGTTAGCCAGCCAGAGGAGCAAGCAGAGTTCCTTCCGCAGCGAGGCCGGAATGAGTACGGTGAGCTCTGCAGCATCCGATATCAACTCAACCATCAGCCTAGGTGAAGGAGAAGGTGAGCTGCCGGTGGGCGACGATGACGTAGATGCCACTACCACTGAAAGTTATGCTGGCGAATGGAAGAACGACAAGAGGACAGGCTGCGGGGTGAGCCGGCGTTCTGACGGACTGCAGTACCAGGGCGAGTGGTTGGGCAACAAGAGGCATGGCTATGGATGCACAACCTTTCCCGATGGTACCAAAGAGGAGGGCAAATACAAACAGAACATACTTGTCAGCGGAAAACGGAAGAACCTTATCCCGCTACGTGCAAGCAAGATCCGCGAGAAAGTGGACAGGGCGGTCGAATCGGCAGACAAAGCTGCCGACATCGCAAAGCAGAAGGCAGAGATTGCACTCTCAAGGTAAGAAACAGGGTCTTACTTTGAAAACTTTGCTGCCTGTTGACCTCACATGGCTCTTTACTTCGATCCTAACAAGTTAGGGCCAAAGTACTACTTCTGTCCTAAAAGACTGGCTCCTAAATGGAGCAAAGACCTACTTGACCAGCAGGGTTGTGCAATCAAACATGAAAAAACTAAACTGAAATATGCATGCTTTAAATGTACCCTCATTATGCACTATACAAATTATGTCCAGTCAAAAGCTCTAGAGCAGTGTTGTCTAATTTCGGCACTGGAGAACTACTGTGTTGCAGAGTTTAGTTCCAACTTACCTTAACACACTTGTCCTGAAATGTCTACTAAGCCTAGTACAGTGGTGGGCCGTTTGGTCCTGGAAAGCCACAGACTTGCAAAGTTTAAGCCCTCGAGCAGGATGGACACCCGTGATCTAGAATAAGTTGGTACTTCTCCTGAATACCACTCACAACCAAGTAGCAAGTATTTGGGTTCATGGTAATAACGTTAGCAAATCATTTACATGAATATTTTTTGTGTGAACTAGTGATCTTGTGGACTGTCTAGCAGCTGTCCACAAGAACATCTCGGATATCTCCTAGAGGAAGACCTTGAAGTCTTGTGGTGCTTTTACATTACATGGCACTACTATTTTCTTTTCCACATCCTGCTTACGGTCATCTGCCACTCATTTATGAAGATATTACTACATTATTACTTAATGATTTTTAAGTTGTATGTCATTATTACACATTAGCTATGTTTCCATCCAAAGATGTGAGTTAGACTAATGTCCCAAACTGGAATATCCGGTAAAACATTTGCAAGTAAAGCACCATTTCCATCCAACGAGTCAAGAGAACTAAATCGTATCTTCCTTATAAATTGGTGCCAAATGTCTGCTGGTTTGTCCATCAATGCTATCCCATCACACATTTATCACATGATCTGTTAAACAAATCAGATTATCTTTTTAAAGCACATACTAGAATTAAATCGGTAAACGCGTTTCCATCATAGTTTATGCACATTCTTTCGTTTTGGATAAATTTTTATCACACTCAGATTTGAGCATACTATTTTATGAGCGTTTTCAAAATCTATATACATCTTGGCATTTCCATTTAGAAATTTCTCATGGGATATTTTAAAATGCATATAAAAATAGATGAATGGTATAGCATATATTAAGGCTGATTTATACTTCTGCCTCAAGTGAACACGTATGGTCCGGTGCAGCCTACATGTGGTCGCATAGCCTTACTGTGGCTAATGCAGACCCTGACGCCTACCTCTCAAAAAATTTAACTACACATCGCAATGACGCATAGCACAGGCTCTTTGATTGGTCAGCTTGGTAGCTGTGCCGAGTGTGTACGGTGCTGAAAGCCTCGAGCCCGATGGAATGAGTGTTTACAAGTGTCAAGTCCCATGAAGGAGCTCCAGATGTTTTGTATTTACCTTATGATTAAAGTTGATGCACGTCCGCCGGTTCCCGCCTCTGAATGTGCAAGTTTGAGCTACTTCTACATTAAGGTAGCGTTCGGAAAACACAAAACACTCGCAAAGAATCTTGAAAAAGAGTAACATAAAAATATGCTGCCAGCTAGAGTTTCAGAAGTGTATTGCAGAGCAACACAAACAGCACGAGTCGTGGGTAATGGAGATCGCTTGACGCAGAAGTATAAACCAACCTTATATACATTATTATTGTATTAAATATTTTCCTGGTGACAAGACAGCCAGTACAAAACAATAGCTGCTTCGTAGGCATTGTTTATTTACACCAGGGCTATTCAATTAGTTTGTCATGGGGGCCAGTTCATGAAAAGCATCCAAAATGAGGGGCAGTATAAGTGATGACACAACAGTAAAATAAGAGCCCATATGCTGTGTTTTTGCTCCTTAAGACACCCACGTTGGCCTTTTCTTCGTTAAATCGTTAATATGTTGTATTTTGAAACATAATATCAGTACATTGTACAATGTGGCATTTTTACAAACATATTCAAATGTTGTATTTTGTAGAACAACAAAAGCAGTGCAACGCTCAAGTAGACTTTTTCTACATTCAAACATTCTTATGTTATGTTTTAAACTGCATAACAATTAGGGATGCAATAATTACCGATTTTGGTTGTGCGATTGTTGTTTGAAGAATAATCATCGTTCGACGGTTATCACCATTACTATGCATATTTTAAAGTGTAGTTTATTGCTGCTCTGTAACCAAATACAGCACAAAATATTATTAAATACAAACAATAGTCCATTTCACTCTTTGGAGTTAAAAATAAATAAAAACGTTTTTTGATTTAAACATGAGTGATAATTTTACAATAAAAATAAATGACAGAACAATAAATAAATAAATAAATAAATAAATACATAAAAAAAAGAATAAATCAAAATGGTTTTAATCTAATGTAAATTAAAGCTAAATATTAGCTAAGAATTTAAAGGAACTGTGGTTATTATCTGCATTCATACATGCATAATAATTTTAATAATATCGTCTAATGTATCTTTTGTTTACATTGCACTGAAAGCCACGCACAACTCTAACCGCTACAGTGTGAGATAATTTCAACTCTCTGCGCCTGGAGGTTTACTTGCGAGTCGTGCACGCACCGCTCCCAATATGCGCACGTCTCCGTAGGAAATAACGAACTTGCGTGCGGAAAAGACGCATCATGTGAATGGCTTGCTGCTATAATTAATCTAATGTGCGTGCGTATTAGCATGACTTTGTTTAGTTGCAGCAGTTTTGTTCCGTGCAACAGAGATGCAGTGCTGATTCATTTTCTGTATGATTAATTACCCGTAATGAATTAAATCGTGGTTAATAGTGCAATCCGCTAATCATTACATACCTATTAACGATATCAGTGCATTGTACAAAAGGCCTTTTCTACGAACATATCCAAATGTTTTGGCTGCCAGCGCCACTCGCTTAATGTCAGGTGACTCATGCTCTGCGCAGCCTTCAACTGCAGCTCATACTATATTGAACAGACGCACGTCACTTCATAACAATAGCGTCAGTTTTTACGACTGAGCTAAATTTATTTTTGATGTGTTGATCACACTATTTAGAGGGCCAGAACAAATTGCCTCGCGGGCCCCCAATTGAATAGCCCTGATTTAAACTCTTTTTTCAGGAGTTACGAATTTTCTATAACATTACACAATACTAAAAGTGGCAAACAGTTATTGGCTATTAAGCAACATGCATTCTAGCATATTTCTTGTCCTCAACACAAGAATTTAGGAGTCAAAATTGTATCATTTGACAGAGTAACTTTCACATACACAACCTTTTAGGCACCTCATAGGAACTGTGCATAATGGGCATTGATAGGTGGCGTATTCTTATCCTAGAAAGCATTTGATTGGACTAAATCTGTGTAGTCTGTTTTTCTGGACAAGAAAAAATTTAAAATGTTAATTGTGGACTTTACCTGAGCGCTAAAAGCAAGAAGATCTTTAGCATGGCTTCAGAGCAGACAGACGTGGATTAAAACTCCTCTTGAATTAAGAGAATCTTCAAAAGCAAAGTGCGCCCCTTAGCATTAGTATGCAAACTCAGCAACGCCACGGCCCATTGACAATAGTGTATCGTCCTACAACATGTTACCTCTCGCTTTCTTCGCACAGCCTCCAAACACAAGGCCATAATTCTAGTGGCTGCTTGGGACCTGTTAAATAGGCCTCGCCGGTGCCAATATGTGGTGTGGTTGCTAAGGAAACGTGAATGATTTGTGTCGATGTCAGCGTGAAGAGAGAATACATAAGTCCGGATTCACTTAATGAGAGTCATGTAGATTCTGGGTGTATCAGCAAGCTGACTGATGTCTGTATTGATGCAGAGCAACAGTGGTACAATCAATAACATGGACATGTGGAATGCCATGGTCATAAATTGTCCGACGCTGTTAGTACATGTCCGTGTGTGTGTGTGTGTGAACAGAATACAGTTTGGTTAAACAGCGATTGTTAATTTAAATATGCAAGCAATTTTTTTTACCTTTTGGTCTAGTTTGGTTGAAGTTGTTTAGTTTCACAGTCTTTGTTGTCTTAGCACAGCACTCACATCAATGCTTCTTTATAGTCACAGTGAACTGACACAATGCTGAATTTCTCTTTAAAGAGGAGGGGGAAATTATTAACACACACAAAAAAACATTAATTGCAATAAATCATACTGATTGTTTTAAAAAACAATTTTGTTAACACATTATTTTGATGGTCCATTTAAGTATTAGTAGATGGTCTGTTTAATATCTGTTGATACTGCTGCTAAACAGACTTTCAACTGACTATAAGAAACTTTGCTAGTACATGTCAACTTACACTAACCCTATCCCCAACCCTAACCCCAACCTAACAGTCTACTTATAATCTAATGAGAATTAGTCACCATGTAACATAACAAACAGATTCTCAAAATAAAGTGTGACCAAAACATTATGTTATCGTTTTCTAAAACAAAAATATGGATATTTAAATTGGTAAATAAAATATAATAAAGTTAACGTGTGTTCACTACCATTACATAGAAACAGCAAGTAGCAAATTTCAAAGTCCAATTTGCCAGAAGCAAAATGTAGGAATTTTTCAGTATTGTCTTGTAAAACATATACGATAATCATTATGGCCAATAGTTTTTTCAGCTTCTAACTGTGTGCATTATGACCACATTTGTAAACTCTAAGGTCCCTATCATACACGCAATAATAAGTATGTCGCAGTTTGTTGCTATTTTCAGACCAGTGCAATTGTAATTTTCATGTTTTGTGAAATGTTGTTTTTATAGCAAATTCATTTGCGCCACTTTGTGAACTCATGAGTGTCCTGGTCTAGAAAGGAAGTATGCTAAGGCACATTGTAGGTGCGTTGCTATTTTTAGGAACTGAAACCGCTGGGGGTGGGGGTGTTATTAGCAGTAGTATTTATAATATGCATATTTATATTTGTTTGAATAAAAACTATTTTAGATTTGTCCA